GGGGGGGGAGGGGGTGAGATTCGTGACGCTGTGCCGTGCGAATTTTGGCACGGCTCTCGAAAACTTCTCACTCTCGCGGCATTTCGCGGAAAACTCGCTGAATTCTCGACGTAGCCAATTGCGTTGCATTACAGCGATGATAAAGTACACTCGTTGCGAAAAAAAAAGAGAGAAAAGAGATGTATATTTTCAAGTGTAAATCTTTCGACAAATTCTCGCATTCGTAGAAATGAATTATGTAACTTTGTACATCCTCATTGGTGCTCGGACAAAATTTTTTACAGCTTTTTGGCTTTAGAATTACAAAATACGATAAATAGCACGATGGTAAGACTTTGCAATATCATTGGTTAAGATATATTATATGAATCATTGATTAAAAATATATTTTTGTGTTATTAAAATTGATATAGAAAAAATGAAATTTGATTTAATAATAATAAAAATTGAGCCATACGATATATATACGAGATAAAATTTTTCTTAAGAAAGAAAACAAGTACATAATGCAACATAAATTTTTCTGCTTGATTGTATAAAGTTTATGAAAAAAAAAGATTTCCTATATAAAAATAATATGAATCCATTTATTTATGTTTTGGTACATACATATATCTAGTAAGCAGTATATTTATTTTTTTACAATCGTTTAACATATTTCTCTGCGACACAGATAAGTTTTTATCATATTAAATATTGATATTTTTCATACATATTAATTCTTTGAAATACCAAGATATAATACTCGCTAAACGATGAATAATTATTATTACAGATAATTCATCTCTGCACAATTTATTACGTAATCAAATAAATACAAACTACATAAACACACATTTGTATACAAAATTATCTTGATGAGAAATTAGGCAAGTGATAAAAAAGAATTGTCGTTCTATATCTTTTATTTATTCTTTCTTTCTTCTATAGGAGAAGAGAGGAAGAATTATCTCGTCGTATACGTATATCGAAAACTTTTCAATCGCTGCAATTAATGGAAATACGGAAAGGTGGTCGGTGAAAGAGTTAATGTTTTTCTCTAATTCGCGCGAAACGAAGGTGTCGACCGACGTGGCAACTCAGACGCGAAAATTCTCTCGCGTCAAACACGAGAGCGTTAACGTTGAGCCGAGCCGGCGAAGATTCGAGGGAGCCCCACTAACGACACCTCGCGACGTCGACCGCGCGCGCGCCCCCTCTCGCCGTACCCCATGCCCCCGCCCTCGTTGGAAGGCAGTGACGCAGGGTGGTGTTAATGGGCGTACTCGCGGTTAACACCCTTAGAACCACCGTGGTGGGAGCGCACCAAGCACCCAGGTTCACCGACGACCGTGAGAGCGGAGAGCGTCGCGAGCGTGTGTGCGCGGGGCGCGAAACGGAGGGGATAAGTCCGACGGAGAGGAGACGGGACGAGAGACGGGACGAGAGACGGGACGAGAGCCGGGAGGAGAGCGGCGGCGAAGGCGCGAGCGAGACGACCTGGTCCTGGCTCGAGTAGCGTCGAGAAAGGCGTCGGGTGCAACGCCGCTCGGATTGGCGCCGGAACGCCAATCCGGACTACGAGCGCTCATTATCACCCGACGAAGAGGTAGGGAGAAGGTTCCGCGCGCGCGGTTCCCTCTCCACGCTCGGGGCTCGGGGTTCGCGCTATCCCGTCCGCATCCGCCGCTCTCGTGGACGGACAAGCTCGCCGCCGTCGCCGTCGCCGCTGCCGCTGCCGTTGCCGTTGCCGCCGACAGTTGGGGAAAAGCCGGCTCCCCCACTCTCGGACCGTAGACGGTCGTAGGGGAAGGGAGGAGGAGCCCCCGCACGATCTCAGTCTTCGCGTCGCTGCCCTCCAGCATTCACGCCTCCCGCGTCCGTTCCGCGGCGCAGGCACAACGCGGTTCCGTATACACGCGCGTAACGCACGCACACGGTGCCGTGGACCACCCGTATACACGCGCGGCCGCGCCGCGTACACCACCGCCCTGAATCCGGACGGGGACTTTAGCACACCGACACCTCTGCGGGAGGTGTGGGGGTGAGCCCCCAGAGTAGGTGTCAATCCTAGCGCTGCTCAGTGACCATCGCGGCGCCACCCAAGTAACACCTTTCGTCCGGCTCTTCGGCCTCGACCGATCCTCGCCGTCAAACCGTCGTTATCGAGGGACCGAGATAAGGCCCGTATCTCTTTTCCTCCTCGTCCGAATCATCGTCGATTGTCGTCGACTCGCGCGCGTGTCAACCGGCATGTGAAACACTTTTGAACTGTCCTTCCGTGAATCTCGCGTGTCGTCAACGCCCGTCGGACGGTTGGACGGGTGCCTGAAACTTGTAACAGTGTTTGACAGAAGCAGAGAGAAAGAGAGAGAGAGAGAGAGAGAGAGAGAGAGACGCAGGGAGTGACGCGAGAAGAAAACTTCGCAAACGAATCAAGGTGACAAAGTCAGTGGTCAGTGAACATAGGATCTGCTTGCCCTTGGAGTGTCGCGTGGCTAGTGTCTCGACATGAGAGTGACTCTTATACTGAAAATCTACCACGCGGCGTCACCGCAGACGTCCGCCCGCGAGTGACAGCACGTCTCGACGAGTGCCAGTGTACAATCTTTTTGGTCCTCCTTCGAACGACTCGCTTGTTTCACGACTCCTCGCGAGTGATATCTCGAAAGTACTTTGCATCATGGTGGAGGCTCGCTGAAGCGTCGGACACGGCAGGATCCAGTCGTAAGATGTCGACTAGACGGTCTTTGGCAATAGCCAGCGAGAAGACGATCGTCGGCAGCGATTTCCCGCAGCTGGAAATTCGCACGGAAGAGGAACGCGGGCGTTTCGATTATTGCGATTCACGATTTTGAGTTTGGCGAGTGCCAACGTCTATCGAAAACGTGTGTGTGTGTGTGTGTGTGTGCGCGCGCGCGCGCGAATATGAGGAGAAACGAGCGCGATCGTTGAACGCATCAGACAGTCGGCAGAGCAGTCTCCGTCCGTCGGGTTCGTGAGCGGCTCGCGCGAGCGACAGACGACATACGACAGACGACAGACGACAGACGCTTATTCGAAAAACGAGAGCGAGACGGAGGAGAAAGAAAGAAATAGAAAGAAAGAGAGAGAGAGAATCATAGCGCGAGCAGCATCCGAAGCAGGTTTGAGTCACTCGAAGAGGAATCTCGCGCGACTCGGCACACTCGCCCGTCTCGATGAGATTCGAACAAGACACGGCGTGCAGGGGTACCCACTGCGCCAGCACTCCGCAACCCTCCGCGCTGCAGCAGCGATCACGGCCCGAGGAGGAGGTGGTGGTGGAGGAGGAGGAGGAGGACGACGACGACGACGACGAGGACGATTCCTCCAAAAAGGACGTCGACGGCCAACGGCGAAGACTCGGTGGTATAGAATTGGAGACTAACGTGGTCGAGGGTGCGAACACGGGGCCGCGGGCCGAGGCGGGAGGGCCTGGGATGGCGTATCCCGCGTCAGCGACGGCTCTCAATCAGCACTCGCCCTTCGCAAGCGCGATCGCCGGGGGCACGCCGCCCGCGAGCAACCCCAACGGCCACATCGGTGCCGGGACCGGACACCTGCCGGCACCGGCGGCACCGAGGCCGACGGACTTTAGCGTCTCCTCGCTGCTGACCGCCGCGAGCACTCATCCGCCCGGTATCCTGGGCGGTTCGTCGTCGCAGAGTAGCGCGTCACCGCCACCCGGCGGACCCGGTAGTCCGGCCGCGGCACCGGAAACGCCGCCGCCCTTGCCGGTGAGCGGCCAACGCGACTTGTCGCACTCGTCTTCGGCGGTGGCGGCCGCCAGCTACTTCAGCGCTGCCGCCCTGGCGGCAGCGGGTTTCTACAATCCGGCGGCGCATCTACCGCCCACAAGCTCGCCGGGGCCAACGGCGGCCGCGGCCGCGGCTGCTGCGGCGCATCATCTCCAGGGCAAGGGCATACTCACCGGCGCCCATCATCATCACCATCTCAATCCGCACGGTATCACGCCGCCAGGTGAGCGCAGACCCGAGCAAACTTTCTTTGCGTCCAAAGTTGTGTCAATTTTCCTCTGTACGGGTGTCGACGATCAGACATTGACGGGATCGTGTTTCCAATTTGTCGAAATTATCAGGTTCGATTCATCTTTTCGTGCACCGCGGGCCGACGCTCGTCAGGCTGACGTCGCCTAAAGGCCTAAAGTGTTTGCCTCCGTCGACGAAAATGCTCTCGCCTTCAATTAATAGGCCATACGACGTGAAAGAAAGAGGCGAAGGGAGCGAGTAAATTTTATGAGCCGTACGAGATAAACTGCAAACGCATACTTGTTGCGCGAGGTAACGCCGTCGGTGCTTGTTTCGGCTATAATCCACGGTACAATTTACTGGCGAGAGGTATATTATATAGGCGGGCTCTGTTCCTTGACTCTAGTTTTATGTGGAAGCATTCGTACTTTCCCCGTTTTTTGCAAGATGCGAACGTATCGTTTTCCTTTACCTTCTCTCCGAATATAACCAAGTATGAATGCGTTTTTTGTACATATTTTCGAGTTTAATTCTCTATATATTCTGAAAAGTCCGCGAGTCATTCGACATTACGAATCGCTAACTCGAGATTCTCGGTTGCCGTCATCCGGAAAGCGACGTAATAATCTCGGCATTTCGACAAGTTCGTAAACACAGCGTGCGCACTTTGTCGCTCTGGCGCGATGCCATTGTCGTTGCCGGAAGCGCGCTCGTTTTTCGTAGGGACACGTTTGCAACGCGCTGGAAGTCTCTCGTTTGTCACTCATGTCGGCCGTTTCGTCGCGCGCCTTACGCAACATCCTGGCGCGTAACGTCGAAGCGTGCGACACGCCAGGACCAAGTACGGCGAATGAAATATCGCGCGTTTTATCCGCCTACTTTTAAAAAGGAGTCTACTTTTAAACAGGCGTTATTTTTTTTCCCTCCTCCTCGCGATGCTGCGCAATAATTACGCGTCTCGTGCTCTCGCGGCCATTGTTGTTAATTCGCGCGACCGATAAAGCGACGTAGGCCTATTGATATTAAATGCCGCTAATTAGACAATTTATTACCTTGTTTGCCAGAGTCGTTCGGTGCCATTATAAAGATTAGCGCTAATGTCGCGACATTTGATGGCGCGCCATTAATCGGTCGCTAATTGTTTTCTCAATTACGCCCCTTACCCAAACGTTGGCGGAAAGTGTCGCCAATGCGCGACGTCGGCTTATCTGTTGTTTTTCGGATGTACGGTATTGCGTGAATGTCAATCGGAGTCGCGGGCTACGATGGCCCGACTCCTCCGTCGCAGAGAATCTATCTTCGAATAATGGAGATATTCCGTCATCATTTATCAAAATGATTCTGATGAATTCTGGAAACACACAAAAATATTTCTCGACATTATCTTTTTTACCTTTTTAGTCGAAAAAAATAATCTGGAAGATATCAGGTCATAAATACATTAAATATTCTTATATCAAGTGCGATTAATTCAATTGCGTGGACAAATCTCTTGCTCAACTTGTTTCTGCAATCTAGAGCAAAAATGTACTGAACTTTGTCTTTGAAAGGTAGCGTGATTTTTTTAACTTTTAGAAGATTTCTCGCCACAAGAACGCCATTCGTGTCGATATCCGCGAACTGACGTGAAAAAAATATGCGGATCGTACCCGATCAATGATCGCAATAGCGCGCGAACGACGATAACATCGGGAATGCGGTGCGACTCTAAGGCGGTCGAGAGAAAAATGCACTTGGTATACGTCAGCGATACATTATGACTTAGGCACCGATAATGTAATCGATCTGGCATATCTCTGGCGTTAAATGAGCAGGGCGATGCGAACGGTGAACGTGGAACGCGCTCGGTTCCTCGACATTATTTTCAGAATGCATTGTCTCGTTTTTCATCAATGGAACATCGCGATATGTGACAACGCGTGTGCATAAATGAAGGATATTTTGGGAAAAGGTGGCGCAATTTCGCGGGTTAAAAGTTGAGACGAGATACATAATGATCCCGATAAATTTTTGAAATTATCGTACAAGGAAAAAATTCCAAGTCTTCGATCACACTGTATAAATTAAAAAACTTGTCGCGAAAGGTATCATTCGCATTTTACTTTGTGGTAGCGAGGATATGATGCCGTCTGTGCAAATGTCGCGCCAGGTGCGTGAAGAAAAAAAAAAAAAAAAAAAAGGAAAAAAAAAAGAATCGGAGGAACGATTTCCAGAGCCGACAACGTGCTCATCGCTCGTCGTCTTATCTGACATCGCATTATTACGCGCGTCCACCTCATCCGCTACAACTAGTTATTCCCTTCGTTAGGCTAAATGATGAATTAATTCCCGACGCCGGTAGACACGCCGGTACCTCGCTAGATGATTTAGTTTCTCTGCGGGCAAACAGCCTTACTTACAACAACGTATTTTATACAATTGAATATATTGCATTGGATTTTTTTTTTTTTTTTTATAGGAAAAATTAAATAATATAAAAACGTTTATTAAATTGAAATGTATAAATGCGTTACGCTTGATAAATATTTTCTCTCTAATTCTGTGTGAAATACGTGCTTGAACATGCTTCAATTAACAAGCATGGGTAAAATTAAAAGAGAGGCTGTTTTGTTTTCAACTTTATTTGCAGTCACGCCACGCAGGCGATGATGCTGCGAATGATGCGAAACCGTTGCGTCGGCGGCGATGCTCTCGCGGTTAATCGCGATCATTGGACCAGGCTGCAACGGCGAGCCGAGAGATATCTGTCATTGTTATTGTTTCTCTACCCCTTGATTTTTTGACGCGACGCTACGCGCGGCTCGTCCTCTTCCTCTTTTCTAGTCGGGCTCGCGGCCAACTGACCATAAGGTAGTGGCGATTAATCTTGCCAAGGGCATGCCCAACGTTCCTTGCATTCGAAATTCGGAACGTGTAGTCACGTGTACGTGCGCGCGTAACCCGTGTATCCCGAGCGAAGAGAAAACGAACGCGCGCGATGGGGAGGGAAAAAGAGAAAGAGAGAAAAAAAAAACGGAGTGGGAAACGCAAAGAGCGGATTGGGAAGCGAGCGTTTTTTTTTATGTTTGTCGGATATACGCGCACAGCGATAATTTACACGAGAAATGGGAATGCCTTATCAACGCGTTCGATCGAAATTAAATCGAATCCTGAAAATGAGAAATCGAAATAAAATGTATTACTCTGTATCGAAATTAATTTTAGCTTCGCTTTTTGTGGAATGCTAAAAAATTTCATTCGCAGACAACTCTGCAAGGCATACACATTTTGATCTATCTGTATATATTTGAGTTTAGTGTAAAAAGTCACGTATGCACGAGTAACGGCAAAATCGCCGCCCGTTGAGAACGATGGAAATTCGGACGTGATCGGTAGCGCGATTAAATGTGCGGCATTGTTGTGCCTTGCTGTTGGCAATTGTATTAAGGTATTATACGGCGCGAAATCGCGTTCGATAAATCGAAAATCCGTGCTCCGCACTTTATTGTTTGTTTATAATTTTCAATAATGTATTACTTCTGCACAAAGAAAGAGAGTGCATAGGTTGCGCACAACCGTTGATAAATTGGTGGCAATGAAGCAATGTATTTTCGCTGCACGCGATAGTCCTTGCAATCGTGAACGAGTTATTAAATTTACCGCGTGTGTTTGTAACGCGCAACAAAGCGTTGTGCGATCAAAGTTCCACGTCGCGCATAATTAATAAGCTAAAAATCGCGTAGCTACAACACAGCGACGGAATTGTTTCGAGATCGGACTAAAGAATAATTCGGATAATTCGGATTCTCCAAGCAAAATCCAAAGCTATTCATTCAATAGCCCCTTTTCACACACACAAACATTTTTTACCATATATATTAAATAATTCGTCAAGTATGTCGCAAGTTAGATGTGTATTCCAAGGTTACACACCTTGCGCTAATTAATGTTTCCGTTTTGATTAAAATAAAAATAGAGTTTGACGAAAATCCGGCGGGAAGAATATTACGCTGTGGAAACACCGTGGCAATATAATGAATATGCGATTCGATGCGGTCGACGAGCGACACAAAAATCGGTAAAAAAAAAAAAAAAAGATGGAAATTGAATAAAGAGTGACTTAATCCGCTCCCCATCTCGACAGGAACCTCTTTGCGTCATATATTCTAAGTTTTGTCCCACTTTGATAAGGAACAACGGCGAGACCGTTACATAAACGGCGAGTAACGGACAACTAATTCAAGTAACTAACCCAAAATAATATCACCGGATAATTATATTTTTTCTCGATTCACGATATCGCGCGTTCATCGTAAACAATCGTCTCATTCCGCTCGGTTTAACGGACGATTTTTAACTGTACCAGATCCACGCGAGAAATATAACGCGTTAAAAAAATACCGCGGTTGAATAATATTGAGGCCGGGCATTTTCGTTATATTTCCGGTTTGCGAATGAAAATTGAAATACATATACGTCAAGTATGCGCGCGTAAGTGTCCGAAAAAATTCGATGCGGTCGCGTCGGACGGATTCCGGGGTACTCGTGTGTTTGATAACGAATAAAATACCAAACGGCACAGTTCAATAGCGCTTTTGTTCGATAATACAGTAAATTTTGGCGAATCTAGCAATTTTGCGAATGCATCAACGCGTAAAAGTATGTGAAACCTGTCAATATTTTAGGCCATCGGTTCTTTGTCTATGGCGAAAATACGAGCGCGATACGAAATATAGTATTCATAATCGTAATCGTATGCGAAAAACTACCGTCCTGCATAATATATCTCAAGACAACGGTAAAACGGTGTTTAAAATATTTTAAATAATGACAAAAAAAAAGGAACGCGCGCGATAAGAAACTGCGTCTGAAATAAGCGGTCTCGCAAATCTGTTATAAGAGCATGCGGTATATTATTATCGATTTAGTGCTCATAGCTTTACTCTAGTATTATATCTACATCACTGTCTTTACACAAACGCAAATATACATTACGTTTAATGCAAACAACAAATACGGATGCATGGAAATAAATTTCTCCATTTGTGCTTCGCGTAATTATTCATCTCCTACGCTGATGATTATGATTTAATTTTAGTTAAAACGGATGCACGTGACAGATCAACATTTTTTGAAAATCATCCTATGATATCTATAGATGAGAAACATCAAAACGGATCTCCGCGTAACTAGAGCTGCATATTATTACATTTTACCGTTTTATTGCGCCGCAAAAAATATACATGTTTAACGCGTGCGTATATCATTGTTATGCGTGTAATGTGAGATATACATTGCCGTCGGGAACGCGCGATTCATAAAAATGTTATATAATACATTTTGCCCATTATATGATTGTTGGGTAAAATTTGTTAGCGACTGCCGTTCTTTTTATATAAACAAATGCGAAAAACGAATTTCTTTATGAGTATATCACGCGAGGGTGCATTGTCGCATAAAAAAAAAAAAAAAAAAAAACAAAATAAAAAAAAAAACATTTTTTTTTTTTTAAATTC